TGTTATAAAACGGCAGAGAATTGTATGAAAGCAACTGATACATGTCCAAGGGCATTTGCAATTTGTTCAGAGGAAGGAGAAATTGCTACTATGATGTGCACAAATGACTAAATGTTGTGGAGGTTGCACTAATGGTTTTGAGACTTTTCATTCTGATCTGAGAAAAGCACCAAAGCGACTGAGAAAAACTGTAACTGGACCCAGGCCTTGTTCCCTAACTCAACTAACAGTTAACAGACAGTCCTGAAAAGCTACAGACTGTCTCGGGCCCAGGGGTTCAGCATGGTGGGTCCCTCATGCTCGTGGGAGTTTTACTTACACAAAATTGTTCCGAGGGCAGAACAAAAAAAATATTGGTTCAGAGAGATAACCAATCAAATTGTAGAGGAGGTGGGTCCAAGCAACTAGAGGAGGTGGGACCAAGACATCTGATTGGTTGGTCCCACCTCTGCTAGTTCCTTGGACCCACCTCCTCCACAATCTGATTGGTTTTTTAATTTTTCATTCTGCCCTCAGAACATTTTTGTGTAAGTAATACTCCCACGAGCGTCCCTGCGCCGGTGGAGGAATTACTCTCGCTTTCACCCCCCACAGCAGGAAATGCTTCTTCTCTGGGCTGAGCAGCGGGTCTGACGCCGCTATGTTTTCAGCCATTTCGGCCCAGACGGGGATCTTCATGATGCCCAGGAGGGCTCTGAATTGTTGACACACCGCTGGCTATGTTTCCCTCACTGACGCCATCGGAGCAGCGATGAAACGGCTCCCGTTGCCACTACGAATCTCACATTTGGAAGTTCTGCGTCGTTCCACGGAATGAAGGATGCAGAATTGGCTCGTCTTTTTCTGGTGACCCTGTTAGGGACGTATCCAGCCCTGCTATCTTCTGTTTATGATACAAATTTGAGTGACTAACAGGACAGCCCCCCCGCCCCGCCCCACACAGGCCATCCAGTGTCGCATCCGCATTTCAGTGCTGCTGTGGGGATGGATGGCACATGAGTGGAATATGAGTCCTTGTTGGTGCGCAAGGCTGCGAAGTCTGTACTGCTAAGGGTGATGGCAGGGAGTGCAGCGGTAGGGTGTGGGGGGGTGCGGGGGGGGGGCATGGGCTTTCCCACATTCCCTTCTCGCACTCGCACCTGCGCCAGCCTTCAAGATGGCAGAACGCAACAGGTACAACTCTCTCCGGGTCATCAGTCGACCACATTCATAGTTTCTTGTTTAGTTTTTCTTTTTTGAGGGGGGGGGGGGGGGGACACTTTTTCTGTTACAAAAATTCCCTGTTAATGCACCTTGTTTAATCCAAAAATATCAAACTGGAAGGCCTTTGAAATATAACCATTTTTGCTAAAATGACAGAAAATTTGCTAATTATGCAGCAGCGCACAGGAGGACGTGGCTGTCGGCTGTCGGTCGCACTGTCACACTGTGTATTTACAAGCATAAATCCCACTGGAATCTACCTCTGATGGGGACTGCTGTCACCAGACTGACACTTCATTTATTTTTTCTTGTATGTTGTGGCTTTTGTGATTGGGGGTGGGGGGAGGCGGGGGCTGGCCTTCGGGGGAGGATAAAGAAACAGCATACCCGTACCTGGGCCCCTCTAGATGACAGCTCCGACCACCAGCACCAAACCAGGGCCACTATTACAATCATTCCTACGAGGGGGATGGAGAGAACAGGGGGCTCAGATGGAGCAGTGGAGTTCTGAGAAAAAAACAAGGGAATGTGGGGATGGAGGAAGGAGGAGCGGGAAGTAAGGGAAATCAAAATGAAAGAGAGAGAGCGAAAGACAAAAAAGAAAACAATTACATATGGAAGGGTAGGTATACAGAGAAACCTAACAGATAAAAAAAACATGATCAGGTTAACAGGTAGATAAACATATGGAATGGAACACAGATCAATAGATAGATAGATAGATAGATAGATAGATAGATAGATAGATAGATAGATAGATAGATTAAATAGATAGATAGATAGATAGATAGATAGATAGATAGATAGATAGATAGATAGATAGATAGATTAGATAGATAGATAGATTAGATAGATAGATAGATAGATAGATAGATAGATAGATAGATAGATAGATAGCAAAAAAATAACTGCATTTCAAAAACCATCAAATTTGCTGAGAATTTGATTCTGCGCAGTGTGGACACACAGGTACACAGTGTCTACGCATGGAGGCATTTATGAGCGCGATGAGAGAGCCAGATGAAGGAAGCCAGGGGAGACGCGGGGGTGGGGGTGTTGATGACGCCCCGTCGCGCACACGGGCTGCCGTGCACAGCCGGGCGAAGCGGTGACAGGGCGAGGGACGGGACAGTCATGCTCTGAGCAGGGAAGCCAGGACGAAGCCGTTACCACGGTGACGTAGCCCCACAGATAATGAGCTCGACAGAAAACACGTTTAACACATTACATCCTTACATAACACTTTACATCGCACACTAAATTTCATGGCTACGAACTTAATTTTATGTCGTTTGTGTAGGTCTCATTAACCCTAAAATTCCCAGTTGAGGCTCAGTTACGTTTTGATAAGGTATCACTACCACTGTCCCACACCAGTATGATTCTGGGAAACAAACCTTATGGCCTCATTAAATATATGTATATAAATTCAGCACAAAGAAAGCCAGAAGCAAGGAAATTGGACTAATTAATTTCATTATGACCCAAATTAGTCCATTCAGAGGCACCTGAAATCATAATCTAGCTACTTCTGCCAAGCAGGATGCGAACAGGAAACTGAACGGTCTGGCTGGATGCCTCTTAGGATCTGAAAAGGACTAAATGGTTTTAGCCCTCATTAGTACTTTCGCCACTACAGTCTGGACAAATCATATAATAAATATTGTCCTGCTTAATGTATAAAGATTTTATGTATCATTTATTTTATACAGATATTTCCCTTTTGTTGCAAGGTTTGTAATACTAAGCTAGTTTTTTTATATATGTGATTGCAGCAAAAATGTCTAAAAACTTTTCACACCATCTCGGGATGTGGTGCACGGTTCATGGATGACAAACACAGAGACACCTTGGGAGGACGAAGGACACTGCAAGCCAACACGGCACGAGGTACGGCGAGGAGGGAGGGGCGACCCCCGCCGTCTCTGCCCTCACGCAGAGCGACACAGATCGCCGACGTCAGACAGGAAGACGCTTGTGCAAAAGAGCGAGCAGCCAGGGCTGTTCTTTTGCGCTTCTGAGACACGGACACAGACTGCTGAGTGTAGTGTGTGTGTGTGTGTGTGTGTGTGTGTGTGTGAGAAAGTTCTGCACAGTATTACCATACCCTCCCTGGACACACCACAGCCTGGCTAACATCTCTAACAAACCTTAGCCCATTAATCCTACTTAAACGTTCCTCTGGTTCCTATACCTCATTTACCTTAACTATTAACTCATACCTCCCCTCTCCTCCCCAACCTGCCCACCCCCCCACCCCCGCACACACCTCTGTGGCACCATCTGCTCATGGAGTCACAGACACACTGAATCAAAGACCCCCAGCCACCCTGAGGCAGACAGGGCAGGATTTGGGAGGGGGGGGTAGACCGGGAGACCTGGGCTCATGCGGGACCCGACGCCCCCCGCTGTCTGTGAGCTCCGGCCCTCCTGGCCCCTCACCTGAGCCCTCCCCTCCATCAGCCTCCCCAGCTGCTCTCGGTAACTGCGCAGCTCCTTCTCCAGCTCGTCGCGCTCCTTCTGGCTGCTGTCGCACAGGCTCTGCAGTACCAGGAGCTCCTCCTTCAGGCCCTCACACTGCGGGCAGACACACAGAGGACAGCAGCCTGGCATGTGAGCGGCACGGTAGGACACAGAACCACTGCGCTCATCAAACTCCATTACCGTTACAGAATGTTCCGGGCCGGGGATTCGTGAAAAGGTACTTTTGGTGTCTAGCTACATTCTTGGTCAATGACCTCGATGAGGGGGTAGTTATGAACATACACACGACGAATTATGTGTTTCGTGGCTGGTGAGCTGCTGGCGGATTCTCCCGCTGTTGGATGCGTTGTGTAGGCCGCAGTAGCCGGGTGTGGAGGAGGATGAGCCGTACCTCCTTCTGCACTTGCAGGGCCCTCTCTTCCGCCTGCTTCAGCTGGTCGCGGAGGGAGAAGATCTCAGTGAAGCCCCCGTTCCAGCTGGTAGGGGTCACGGGCTTGCCGTCGAAGGAGATGTTCTTCTGGATCGAGGCGTCTACCAGGCGGCAGTTGGTGCTGGTCTGTGTAGAGATCCTCCTACTTCCTACCTCTCCTTCCCCGCCGTCGACCACGCGGAGCTGCCCGTCCTCTGTCTCACTCTCCTCCTTCAGCGGCAGGCACACGTCGTTGGAGCTGCCACAGAGTGGTCAGGATCATTTTGTGTCTCTCAAAGCAACTATCAAATCGCATTTCATATGCAAGGACTGGCCAGAAAAACATGCAAATCCTTTCTCTCCTGCTCTCCTATCCCACACACGTGTTCAGGCTCTTCTGCTAATTTATTTTGGCCGAGGAAGCTGGTTCTCTTGAAATGGGGTTGGGGGGTATGTGAGTTATACCGGAGGAATGTGCTTATTAGCATGCTCAGGGGGTGTGTAAGGGCCTGAGCTGATCTGCAATAGCAGTGAAAGGACGCTAACATTGTTTGCATGAGATACTTATGACCAAGAAACCATGGTGAATCGGCATGCTAATGGTGTCTTATATTATTATGACCGAGAAATCATGGTGCATTAACATGCTAAACATGTTTATGAGTTACTATGATTAAGAAATCATGGTGCATTAGCATGCTAAACATGTTAATGACTTAGTCTGATTAAGAAATCATGGTGCATTAGCATGCTAAACGTGTTTATGAGTTACTGTGATTAAGAAATCATGGTGCATTAGCATGCTAAACGTGTTTATGAGTTACTGTGATTAAGAAATCATGGTGCATTAGCATGCTAAACGTGTTTATGAGTTACTGTGATTAAGAAATCATGGTGAACTAGAATGCTAAAGATGCTTATATGAGTTAATATGGCCATGAGGCTATGGGTAGATTAGCATGCTTATGGTGTTTCTGACAGTTAGTAAGGGACCCCGAGTGAATAAGTATGCTAAAAAGTTTCTCGATGAGCTATAATGCTAAAGGAACACAAGCAAGTTAGCATTCTGCGGCAGTGCCTGATCTGTCGCACCAAACGACTGTCTGAGTGCTTGTTTGAGCCCGAGAACATAAGCGTGTGACTTATGAGCGGAATGAGTGAGTCATCCCACCGATCGCACCCCCGTCACCCAGCTCTGTGCGCGTTAGGCCGCACTGGGCTCTCTGAGGACGTACTCATCACTTTTTCATTCCCTTCATCAATTATTTGCGGAGCAGACGGTCCCTAGGGCCAGTCGCAGTGCTGAAAGCCACAGCTAGTTCTCTCAAATAGCACAGATACATCAAACACAGCGACTACTGCAGACCCAGTGATATTGCGGACAAGTAAATGGAAGCAGAATATGAAGTCTCACATTGGCTGGATAAAGATAACATCATTTCCATGATTTAAGCTTTTAAGAAGGAGGACGGTAGGGACAGCTGTTCCCGACTGGTAATATAGTTCTGCGAGTGGAGTGGGCGGAGTCACTGCCTGATTGGCAGGTTTCTCACCCGGTCCTTTGTAGCTGCAGCAGCTGCAGACGCTCCAGCAGCTGCCTGTTGCCGTCCTTGAGGGCCTGACACTCCTCCTTCAGCACGCGGCACTCCTCCTTCAGCAGGCCCACATCACCTGACCAAACGGAATGGAGGCCGGCTGGTCACGAGCATCGACACATAGCCAGTAGCCCTCCAGCCAATGCAGACAGGGAACGTGGGTGGCGTGCCTTCCAATTCCTGCAAATCCACATCTAGAACACGGGCCTGCTCAGATTGTCATTCACTCATCAGCTGTGTATCAATAGCCACACATTCCTTGATAGATATTAATCAAACACATAAATGTTGCGCTCCAGTGCTGCCAAATACAACAGGGTCCGGAAGCCCCGCCCCTTCTCCATCCATCAAAGCACCCCGGGCAATGTCAACAAGATATAGCACCTGGCCATTGCCAGTCATCTGATCTCTCCTTTATGCACCAATGTGAGTTCAACAGGCTCCTCCTCCTAAATTCTCTCCATTCCAAGACACATGTTCTGCATAACTGGGTTTTTATCTCAGAAACATATCTCGACCCAACTCTGTCCAGCAATGGGGCAGATTGTGACACCCAGAGGTTCTGCTGGGATACACGATGCTCCAGGTCTTGGTTCTGGAGAACCTCATCTGCGTTTTGAAGTTGTGTCAACAACGTGGGCGAGACTCCCAAAGAGAAACCTCACACACTTGACCATCACTCTCCTAGCCGCCTGCACGGATGTCGCTGGGGGTGATACAGACCATTTTAGTCTACATTGAGATTCAACATCAATATACATCCCTTTATCTCCCAGTGCTTGGGGGAGATAAGTTTTGCAAAGACACAGATTGAGACTGATTGAGCCACAGATGTGTTACATGCATGGATAAAGGCAAAATGAATTTTTTAATTTAAATAGGATTAGAAATGAGAGGGGGGAATTCAGCAAGATGAGAGGAGCAAGCTGACCACAGTGGGGGTGGGGCTGCAGTGGGTTGGACTGTTTCATTCACACCAAAAAAAGAGACAGCTTGGAAAAATGACATAATCCCATACATAATGCACAGGAAAGGTGCTATATACCCCAAAGGCATCGCACAGCCTGGATAAATGCATGTCAGCAGATCGGTGCATAAGGTGTGATGTCACAGAAATGCGTTGCATAAGGTGTGATGTCATACAAATGCGGTGCTGGGCCGTGCCAAGCTTGGAGCCTATTCCCAGCCAGCAGAGTACAGACCCTAAAACCCACCGGAAAGGGGGGAGTGCCTGGAGGCCAGCTGGGGATCAAAATGAAGGATTAAGGGATCTGGAAAATCTGAATGCAGTGAAGTCATACTGTAAAATCAACAGCCTAACAGGACTCTCATCACCCAGCGAAGCATTTAGGCATTATTCATATTAATTAATGCGCAAACTGTATTTGTAACAGGGATATTTTTCCGGAAGCGTTTTTTTAGATCATGAGTTTATATTATAACACTGCTATTCAAATCAATTTAAAAATCAGCATAAGTTATCGCTTGAACCCTGAGGGATGCATTGCGGAGAAATTCTGAGGTCGGCGCTCTTCAGTGGGATGGACGAGCTAATCGTGATGTGTGCAGGGGATTCTGGGAAGGAGGGCTGAGGCTCTTTCCTTGATAGCGAGGATGGCCCTATTATCACCACTCTTGGACCTGACAGTGGTTTCCACTGCCTCTCCAGCTCTTTGTTAAATTCCGCAGAACACTGAGGACGCTGCATCTACTGCATGTTTGCCTCGGTCACGCATGAAGTTCCTGCTTATGTAGCAGCTATTAGCGCTTAGCAACCGCAGGCGATGCCAGGTGCTGGCCGGACCCCAGCTACCTTCTAATTTCTGAGTCTCCCTGAGTGTCGGCTGGTACCACTGGCCACCATGACCTACTTGAGGCATCTTCTGCTCTTTGCAACACCTACAGCTACTGCGCGAAAAAATGACATCAACATTTTCACAGCACAGCCGAACCCTGCGTCTCAATTAAAGATGAGCAATGTCTTTAAAAGGAGACTCCTGCCATTGTATATATATTGTATATACCGAATTGGTCAAAGTTTCTCATTTTAACAGAAATGCGCTCAAATGGAAGGAAATCATTCCCAGTACCATCCACAACCTGACAGAAAAATCGTTCAGGAGAGACGCATAGCGAAACATATGCTAAGTATAGTTAGCATCTCTGTCCAAACACAATCAACAGCAGATCAGCAGTGATCGTATGACACGGATCAATGTAGCTCTTCACGTAAGCCCAATAGCCATTTTGTCCATTTCCATACAGCTTCAGATCATTTTGATTTTAATTACTTACTAGACAAGCTCAACAAATTGTCAGTGACCAAAAATTAACACCCTATGATTTACATTTATCACTCCTCTCAACTTGGGATTTGAACCAACAACCTTCTGAGCACAGTGTCCTAACCCACTGAGCCACACACCAATTTCCATTTCCAGGTGCTTTTTTCACCCTGAGGAAGCATGTCTTTCATTACAATAAGGAAGGTCCTCCAGCGCTTGTCTGGGAAGATCTGAGCACCGTTACAGATCAGCGAAAAGAGCAGGAGCCTGACGTCATATGAGGAAGATGGGATGAGCTAATGAGCTCTGCTTTTAATTAGATTTCACCCCGTCCATTTAATATGAAGCAAACAAAAAGTGTCAATTATCATTCTGAGGCCAAACAGTAAATTAAAACATTAAGTAATAAGCATAAACAGCATATGCCTGTTGAACTGGTCCAAAACAGACCAGCATCGAATTCCCTTAGACTTTTCGATTTTTTGTGTAAAAGAGCCTTACATTGCCAAGAGGAGCCGCTTGGGCAGAGAAACATTTCGCACCTTTAGTGAGAATTTCTGTGCCGTACCTCAAACTGTCTTTTTTGCCTTTTATTTTAAAGATGACTTTCTGGTTTACTGCTGGGAGTCACTAACATCGCAGCTCAGACTTTGACTGTCACATTTTCACATTCCACGGCCTTTTAAATAAGATCTGATCTCAGATCTGCAACCGTTACTATATCTCACAGCTGTCTTTGTTGCACTTTTGGGCTGAACCTGATTCTATTTGCTGCTGTATGGGGGGGGGGCTGTCCATGTGGAGAGGGGGGAGCTTTTTCTCCATTTATAGGATTTAACAGCCCACCTGTCCCAGTGTGTATAAACTAGCATGTTCTGTTTTTCTTTGACACCCCCCACCAGAATGGCATCGTGATCCTTTTGGGTTCCTTTCTCCCCCCTGACAAAAACCCCCCCCGCCCCCCCCCTCCTGGGTGGTCCCATCTGGTTTGTCCCCGGACGTCACACGGCACTGCCTGATGCTCTCACGTCCCCCCTGCCTTAGCCGCTCTCATCCATCTCTTTGTTTCAAAAAGTGCCGAATCCAAGAGCTCAGATCTCACAGGCCGTAAACATCTGCAGAGCTACGAAAGCCGTGGTGGCAGATTCTCGTTTCCGAAATGAAAAATGAGTTGCTGGGCCAGGAACATAATTATCTCATCAGCCTGCTGAAACGTGTCTGGATTGCAGGCCAACAGCATTTGCAGGCTGTCAGGATGCTGTTAAGGGGATCAATGTGAGGAAAAAGGCATATCTACAGTGGGTAATGCCGTCTGATTCCTCATGGGGGCAGTAGCAGAGTAAGAGTGGGCGTGTCTCACCCTGGTTGCGTTCCTCCTCCCTGCGCTGGCTCTTCATGGTGATCTCGGCGCGCAGTGTGGTGATCTCCAGCTCGTACTCCTGCGTGGTGGCATGCAGCCGCTGCAGCTCGGCCCGCAGCCGGCACAACTCCTCCTGCAGGCTGGCGATGTCGTTCTCCCGCTCAGCCGCCGCCTCCTCGGCCGCCTGCTGCAGCACCAGCACCTCCTCCTGCGCCGCCCGCAGTTCCTCCTGCGCCTCGGCCAGCTCGCTCTCCTTCTCCTCCTCCAGGCTGTCCATCTCCTCCTGGACAGAGCGCAGCTGGGCTGAGGTGGAGTACACAAGAGTGTCAATCGCACAGAGTGCATGGCATGCGTCTGGAGTGCGCGTGTGCCTCTGCGAGAGACCCTGATGGAAATGCGCTCCTTACAGGATATTACAGGCAATGCGCTACAAAAGAACAAAGTCAGTAAGGGCACTACACTGCTAGGAATTAATTATATATGAATAAATACACAGCATTACAAGGGCGGGCAACTTTCTTCAAGAAATACCGCTATATTTTTTCACATTTAGCATATGCTTTTATCAACGTGATACACTTTTTTCCCTTTGAGAAATCAGGGTCAGATAGTTCCTAGAGGTACTGGGGTTTAACTGCAAAATCTCCATGCTGGCTATGGGATTTGAACCAACAACCTTCCAATCACAGAAAACAGCCACCAAACCAGCTGAGCCACACAATCATTGAGGTTTGTCTTCCAGAGATCCTGGTTCCCCCTACAGGGGTGGTAACCCCCACGTCCACAGTTGACGTACGTCTTAACCCCTGGAGAGCGGTGCAAGCAGATTCCCATCAAGGCCGTGGGAGGGGGGGTAGCAGGGGGTTGCTCTACTTTTAAAGAATCACGCAAAGTTACGTCATGCCCCATCTTTTCATGGGGCCGCATCGACGTACACGACGTCTCGCCTACTTGGCAGGATGTGGATATTCATAGAATCCTACGGCATCTGGAGGGGCCCCCGCAGTGAAAAAATAAAACACATGATCCATGATGGAGCATGACCCCCCCCCCATACCCAAGTACTGCCTTCCAGGAAACATGACTGGCTTTTCTCAGGATAATCTGGGAATGTTCACGGACACCTCCGGTGGGCCAATCAGTCAACCAGGACTTTCTGCTTGATTGCTGTTTGTAACCAATGACTATCATTCACCAAAATAAAAGTGCAGGAACATGTAGAAACCATGAGTCTCAACACGGTCATGTGGTCTCATGGTTTGGATGCCTACATTTGAGTCGGGTCCTCCAATGAGACCGTAAATATAGTTTATAGTTTATAATATTATGATCAGGTGAGGTTCTGGGCATGACCGTGTTCTAGGGTCACCAATTATTAAAAAGTTATAAATTATTTTACTTGGTCATAAGGCAGCCTGGTCTGGTTGCGGCTGGCTGCGGTCACGGTTCAGTCAGTCCTGGTTTGAAGTTACCTTGTAGCCTCTGGATCTGGCGTGTGAAGGCCTCAGCTTGGTGCGCGCTGGCCAGACGCTCATCTTCCAGCAGACCTGGGTTTGGGGTGGGGGGTGGAGAGAGAGAGACAGAGACAGACAGAGTGACTGGAAGTGGGGAGATACTGGGAGTTCATGGTGGGTTTATGTCCCTCTTTCTCCTGACACTCTTTTCCAGAAAAAAAAATCAAGAGTAATGACTGAGGTTTGGTCACTGGGTCCCCAGTTGGATTCAGTGAAAACCACCCCAGGAGGAAAATATATGGTGGAGACGGGAGGAGATAAGAGGGACACAGATTCACTGCCACGCTGAATCTTTCTGGACATTTCCTGGAGGGGCTGCATGTGTGAAGGCAATTGTCTCTAGTCAATCAGACGTTAAATGGACTCTACCCCTGCTAGCTCCCTAGTACAAAGTCCAGGATCGACCCCCATGTGTGAATGGAGCAGGGAAAATTCACAGTGAACGAGTGGGAGTGTTGATGACATTTCCAGCATGCGATTGGCATGGAGACGGAAGAACACAAACATCCGAGGGTGAAGAAGAAGGGTCATTTACATGAAGAAGACCCTGACGAACAGGGCTAACTGGAGAGACAACGAGATTAGGGATTTCTGTCTGTAGCGCTGTAAATAAAACACTGCAATTTCTGAGGCATACTTTTCTGTCATGTCCTGGGTCCTGAATACTCTACCCAAGCACCATTTCTAGTAGGTGTGAAAGCGTCGGACACAGACAATCTCCGGTTTAGTGCAACGTGTGTGAAAGGGAAACTCAGGGAAAATGTCTGATTGTCCAGACGGTGTTCATGTATGAAAAATGTGAGAGATGTCACATGCCCGTTCCCCATTTTATCCCTAAATCACAGTCGTATGTCGCTTGTACTGTTTGTTAATTTCTCAGGTTAGAATGAAATTTACTTGACTTAACGGTTTTTAGCTTGCTGGCTACCTGCTCCAAAATGCTGTCGCTATGGCCAAGCTTTTAGGAAGCTGATGTTTATTCGCCCTGTCAGATATGATGTCATTTTCGGGCAAAACTTCAGCTTTTAGGGAAGAAGCCATTTGTGAAAGTGGATCTTTACAAGCCTGGCGGCCTGAAAGGCCATCTGCACGCACTCAGATGTTTCCTGGTCGAATGATCTGACGTGGCTCCATCACGGCCACAATCAAAATGCTTTTACGACTGTTTCATTTCAAGTTATGAGAAAATGGAAAATTTTGTATCCAGAAATGCATTTTTACCTGCATTCTCTGATTTTTCATTGTGAAATGTGGGAAAACCCCCATTTCAGTTTAAAACACACATATTCAATGTCTTTGTGTATATATGAACATACGTCCCACCTTATATATCAAGTTCAGGGTGGTGGGGGGGTGGCGGGGTGCTTGTGGTAAAAATGGACACTGAACATCACTGGGGGGGATGTCCGGGAGATTCCCGGGATTCCCAAAGATTTGGAATATGTAACTTATTCTGGTTTTAACATCAAGTCACAGCATATTTGAACCTACATTTCTGTGTGCAGCCGTTTACTCGTGTTTTCCTGTCTCAGACTCAGAGACCTATCGCCCCACATTCACGTTGCCACCGTGACTAGAGGCCGAGTGACTCAGCGTATTTGCCCCCCCACTGATGGGGAGCAGCTGCTCGCCTTAAGCCCCGAATGCCAAGTGTGCCCTGCGGGGGGAGCACCGGCGTCGCATTCACAGAGGACGCCCAAGAACCCGAAGACCTTCCCCGTGGTGGAGTCGGCGGTGTTAGCGCCTGCTAAAAATAACCCATCGTTCGCCGAGCCGCCTGCCTTCCACCCTGACTGGCTCACAGAAAACCCCTCGGTGCCAGGAACCATGGACCCCCCCGTCGCGAGGCTTGCACTGTGTCAGCCTAGGAGGAGGATTTTTCTTGGCATATGTGATTTTTGTGGGGAATTTGAAGGGCAGAGTGTAGCCCGAGAGCAGAGGACAACAAATCCATACAAATGCTAATGAGCCACACTGGCCCAACGAAAGCATATCTTAAATGGCCCCCGACCCAGAACAATCCAGTCATCTTCCAAATCTTTCATAGCCCCCTTTACAGCAACCCTGACCAGGAGCATTGTGATTCTAGCCTAGTAGCCCAGAAGAAAAGAGGACAGATACATGCATTGCTCGCATATTTTGCCATAAACATAGATGACGACTTATTTAACAATCCCCAAAGAAAAGGAAGTGATTAGGTCACATGTGTGGTATGAAGCTGGGCTGCGTGGTCTTTGCTGACTGCGCTTGGGTGGAGTTCAGTGGGACAGAAACGTGGCCCAGTTACTTTGTGTTTCTGCTGGGCTTATTTGCACGGCTGTCCTGTATCATCCTGGTTCATCTCACTATCTACACGTGAAGGTAAATAACCCCGCCACACGGTGCTGCCCCTCACCCTGCAGCTCGTGGAAGCTCTCCTCGTGCTTCTGCGACATCTCCCGTGCCTCTTCCAGCTCCAGGAGCAGTTGGAGCACCTGTGCCCTCAACTCCTCCAGCTCCTGCCCCTCAGGGAGCGGCGCCCCCTGCCTGTCGCCGGTCTCCACTGCATCCTTCCTCTCAGCTGCCTCCCCCGCTTTCTCCTCGGTCACCTCCTTCTCCCCATTGCCTGCCTCTTCGTCCTTCTGCTCCTTCTCCTCATTCTCCTCCAGGGCCTCCTTCTCCTTGACAGTCAGCTCGTCCTCCATGCCAGGTTTCTCTGGTTTCAGGTCGTCGTCTGTCGAGTGGAGGGGATTAGTTTTACAGATTAATAAACAGATAATCTAATCTAATCATATCAGCCCCAACAGGAAAGAGAATTTATCCAGTCCTAATTCCTTATACAATGCGGCCATGTTGGATTTGATGAAGGACAATTACTGAGGCTTTGATTGGCATGGTGGGCGGGATTAACACTTTACTGTCAATCACAGCCACATTCGTGCAATGAAAATGAAGTAAACAAAGTAGATTAAGGCATCTTGTGACTCACAGGGCCAATAACCTACCCACCATGGTCTTGTAGCATCCACTTTCCTATCATTGATGTTAACATGAGGAGCTGCCTCTGGCATCACCTGACCCAGAGTCGGAGCTCTGATTGGACAGCTGCCCTTGCGATTCCATTGGACGAGCCAGACAGTTCCGCAGCCTCAGTGCAGCTGGTGCAAATTCTTGCGCAGCTCCCCACACTCATCATCACAAGACAGCTGACGCATCCTCACGGGGGGGTCCAGCTGCTCTGGGGTGTCCCTACACCACCTACCTACTCCACCTGTTGTTCTCAGACCCCACCCTCTCCACTGCCATCATATTTTTCTACCCCACACCCACCGAGTAGACTAACCTATCCACAGACCTCTGCCCGTAGCCCTCGGGGGTTGACACAAACCCCTCCCATCCCTGTTTGAAAACAACCAATCTGTTGTAACACCTCAATCGCCATGGCTGGATGAGTGGAAACAAATATTCCAATGCGCCACCCGGTGGCAGGAATAGGAAAAGCACAGCAAAAAAAACGCCAAATTGTGATCCACTCCAATCTGAGATCTCTCTTTCACTCAGCGTGACACATGGCTCATTCATAAATTCTGTGACGAAGAAGGAGCATGGAAGGTCCGTTTAGGAAGACAGGAGGTCTGGTTAACTGTGGGGGACCAAACTCTCCAGACTGGTAAAGCTTCCTGCTACCAGAGCAGCTGTTGGCTTCCATTCCTGGCTGATATACCCTGAAGAACGTCGGAACCTAATTATAGTCTCTCTCTCTCCCCCTTTTATTTACTGAGCTCACTTACACAGCAAATTACAACCTGTTTAAATGGTTGCTGATGAAACTTGGGGATTCGTGTCCTGCAAAACCCCCCCCCTGCCCCGCCCCCCAAGGTCACCTGATGTCGACGCCACGGCGACCGCAATCTGAAGACTCTCCATTAGCCAGAATTAGCCTTCGGATGAAAGGATGCGGCACGTTGAATCGCAAGCTCATTAGGGATGCTTTGAAGTTCTTATTAACAGGAAATGCAGGCTGTTTCCAAGCTGAAGCAGACATAAATCATATGCACGCTGCCTTTTTGCATTCTACATCCCACTTTACTGTGAATGTAATTGAAAGGGGAAAGATATTTGATCCTTCTGTTGACAGGCGACAAGAATGTATACTATACTTTGTCAAAACAAAGGGAACATTTGTTGTCGTGCTGTCAGAAAAGCTCTGTTGGGCCTTGATGAAGGAGGTAACGGACTATCACGTCTCTCCCGGGACACCTGGCTCTTTGATAGCCTTTGTTGCCCACTGAACCAGAGGGTGACAGTAGGTTCAACGACACCGCCCCCCCCCCCCTCCATGAGATTCTCTTTGTTCTATTTACGATTAACCTCACATGTGTGTGTAGGAGACTCAGATTGTCACAGAGATGACTCTAAGTTTTCACTCACCAGTAACAAGATGTTTCTCTAGTCAGGTTTGCAGATTAATAAGCAGACACTCTAATCCAGTCATACGAGCTCCAGCAGAAAAGAGAATTAATCAAGTCTTAATTCCTTATACGATGTGGCCGTGTTGGGTTTAAAACTGAGGCAGGATGGTGGGCGGGATTAACACTTTGCTGTCAATCACAGCCGGATTTGTCCAATAAAAATTAAGTAGACAGAGTAGTGGTTCAAGGCAACCTGTGATTGACAGGGCCCATAACCCCACCCATTATGGTTTTGAATCTCCTATCATTGATTGATGCTTATGAATTTTTCTCACACTGAAGTGTCCATATTTGTGCTGAATGAGGGACAGGAACATGAGGGGTAAGAACCAGCGCTCGCCTTGACTGAGTGGTCACCCCCTCTGCTCTGTTGGCACCTGTCCCATCACAAGTGGCTGCGTGGGATCAAAGAGCTGCATGCTGGGTAATTGTCTGACAGCTGCCTCCCAGGAAGCGAACTGCGCATATTAGCGGCCATGTCAGCGAGAGCAGAGAGCCAAGGACAGAGCGGGATAATCCCGCTTTACGTAACACAATATTATTCCCAATTTAACATTCATTTGATATTGCTGTTCTAAGTAGCATGCAGGGTGTTCCAGCGTGTAAACAGTCATGGAAGATTGTTGATGGAACAGAGGGATAGATGGATGAAACAGAGGGATGGATGGATGGATGCATGGATGGACTTCATATTTCCGTGAAAATGGATCGGCTGATTGACGATGTTTGTCAGAAATATCCATGAAGCCCTGCTTCTCTACCCCAGTGTCCCCCAGTAGCCGGTGGCCCTTGGCTTTGTGTTGTCAGTAGAATTTGGCCCTTGGGGGGCCTCAGCAGTCCTCTGTGGGCGATAGGTTTTTATTTGATATTTGATCTATTTCAGTCAGCATTTCATTCACTGAAATGTTCATGGGTATTATTTTTTTGCCTTGCGTGTTTTTTTTTTAAGTCATTTTGCAATAAATAATGAAGAAATTAATAAATTAAACTGCAGTACTGATGTTCTGGCGCATTCACCTTCTCTGTTATATATTTAGTGACTTGATCCACACACACACACATGCACACACACACACATCTCTTTATTTGGGTTTCCAGCGGACTGCCGCAGTGTTGCATTATTAATTAGCCCCATTTAAGATTACAGTTTTGCACATGCTGATCAAATAATAATGATCTGCTTCGCTCCAGGGAGTCTATTACTACATTAACTTACCCCCCTGCCCCCCCCCCCCCCCAAAGGGGAAGAACCTAATTTACTACGTAACGCAGAGCAGGCCTTGGCCAGCAGAGGGCAGGGTGCACTGTGGTAGAGTAGCACTGATTAACATGACAAACCTCTCTACACACCTGACATGTTCAATAATCACCCTATATGAAGCATATTGATTACCGCTTAATTAGATCGATCAATATACTGACAATATAACAAAATGCTGTCTATGTACTAACTTAAGTATATAGATATATTGTTGCTTTTATTGTTTTTGCCATTTTTGTTATATTTTTAGCAAGTTGAGAACCATTTCACTGCACGTAAGTTTGCATATGTGACAAACTTGAAACAAATTACACTTAAATATTCAAATACTAAAAGACGGCCACTATACTCATGAAGAACAAGACCTTATTGTGGTATTTGGACCAAAAAGTAGAGCTCAGATATATAACTGAAAGTATCAGACAAGTAAACAGATAAAGATCATTTCAGCAGATAGTTTGATGACACTGTCGTCACACAAAAGTTATTTCCTGGCATCGTGAAAACCAGCACTGGAAGACTTGACATGGCCACCTGGCGTCATGCGTGTATTTCAGAGAAAACTGCACACAGCACACGGACACGCCGGCTAGGGCCTTAAGGATTCAGTCAGAGCATTGGGCCAACGCACAACCAGCCAGGTGTCGAGTCGTTTAGTTAAGCCTAACCACTAACCAACCGGCCCCACCTATGACTCAGCACAGCCGCTGCCATCTGGAGCGAGATTTGGGGGGTGGGGGTGGGGGGGGGAGAGAGTGACAGAAGATTCACACAGAATGGAAGAGAAGCACATAATCACAGGCAGCAGGGAGAGGCCAACTCCCTCCAGTAATGGAGGGAGCTAGGCCAGTAGATTCTTTGGGAGCAGCGAATACAATTTGAGGGATTTTTGTCACATGGGTTGAATGAGCATTCCTATTGGCTGTCCCGCATTAGAGGATTCACACACTGGAATGCTAAACTGGAGCCACTTCCCAGGGTAGAGAGGCCCTTTATCCATGTAACAGATGCTGTTCATTAATAGACTGACTAACAACACACTGTATGGATAAGATTAATTTACTTCCATTTTGGCATATTGTCCCTTTATTTTACGAAATCTTACCAAGTCTTCTCTCAAAACAGAAGCATCTTAAATTTGGACGGCCAGTTTTTTCAGCGCGAGCCTGAACTCAGCAAAACTGACTCGAAGAGGAATGCGGCACTGAACACCGATCTCCAGAATATTCCTGCACCGACGTATTTCCTCATTTCATTCGCACTGCTACATGGTGTCTGCTCGGCACACACACACCACACCAACTTGCCAGCATGGTTTCCCCCCCTCACCTCTCATTGGTAGCACCTCACCCAATCAGAGCGAAGGACTGGGCTACAATGCCACAAATACGCGACCATCAGCTGTGGACCCTTCACAGATGCATGCAGAACGCTGGCCGGCCTGGTAACAGGCGGCAGTAGAGGAGGAGGTGTGTCTCTGCAAGGGTGGGTGTGGCAACAATGCATTGATATTCCCCTGATACAGACAGAACATATGTAATACAGCAGTCTGTCCTATGGAGGGCAGCGCAAACACGTCATTGCCCAAATGTGTCCATCCAGCAGCCTCCCTAAGCACCATGTATCTCTACATTAGCTCTCTGTGTGATTGTTTTATACCTCTGAAATGAATTATGTTGCCTGCAAGATACATATTTGAAATCAGAGCTTAATTATGGCCCATTAAAATATCAGTGACATATATTTGACAGAGACTTTTTGAATCGAGCCACCCATGATCCAACCCCTCAGCCTGCCTCCAGCGCTAACCATGGGGGACAATGGCCTTTAGGACCCCAAGACAAGGCTGACTTTGTGCGCAGAGTGGGCGGGGCCACGCGTCAGCCAGCCGACACAAGAACGTGCCCGCTGCGGCAACCTTCGGTGACCTTTGACTTTTGCGGGCCGATAGGCAGCGATGTCATAAAACGGCTAACGATAGCGGTTAACGATAGCGGCTAATGATAGCGGCTAATGATAGCATAGCCCTGCATTACAGAGAGCAGAGTCCCTCTGTAGGTGGACACCTGTCTGTCCAGACAAGCCACCCAGTGATAAAGACCCCAGTTTGATAACAGAGCGGAGGGACACCTTCTTTAGAGGATAAAACGGGGTCAAAACACGTCACTCGATACGGAAAACAGTGTGACTGAGAGCGCAAGTGCTGCAGAAAGTGCTAGAGCCACCATCTGCCGGACTCCCAGACGGCGACCGGAGTCTGTCACCCCGGCTCTGTGGGACAGACGATCTGAGGGTAAGCTTAAAGGACTGCTTTGTCCCCCCCCCCCGTGCAGCCCACCAGCCAGTGATATCAGCTTCCTGGGTCTAGCAGCAGTGTCACCACACCCCCCAGTGGGTAACCATACACCCCTCTGCTCACACACACACGGGTGCCTGGACTCCTCCAGTTGAGGCCCCTTCATCAGTAGCAGAGCTGCTGGATTGGGAGGCTGGGAAATGCTAAGCAAATATCCTGATGACCAAATATGCTGCTGTTCTTTTTCCCTTCATTTCCATCCATTATCTGTGCGGCAGATCATTAGCATCCGCCGCTAATGATGCACAACCGACCAAGCGAAAAATATACTCTCTCAGCCGCAGTGATCGGTGTGTGTGTGTGTGTGCGTTTTTATAAAGAGCTCCGATACAATCCTTCAGCTGCAGGAAACTTGAGATCTAGGACAGAGATGGAAATAGATTTTGGGGGAAACAAGCAACATCAGTCATTGCGGTGGAGAACAACGTCTTCCTCCACGGAGAGATCTGGGCTGTCCAGAGACAAAGCTTTGCGTACGCCCCGCCCGGTCTCTCATCCAGCTCGGCGACTCAGAAAGCCGTCAGGAAGCTGTCAGACGCTCACGTGCAAAGGCTCTCACTGCCCTGCTGTGGCACCCGGCCTTAGACACGAAGACGAGGAAGCGTGCTAACGAGCCTTCTCCTGTGCAAGGGTGACGCCGACATCCTGACTGGTCACTGCAAAGTACTGCAAAGGATAAGGGACCAATCAGATCCCCCCACCACCCAGATCACAGGTTTAGACACATGGATGCAGCCCTGGTACCTCCATCTTTCCAAAA